GCAGCAACTTTGAACCTGAACAGCTGAACCAGATCTCTGACACCAGAGCTGCGCTACTGTCAAGCTATGAGGCTTGTTGAGCTCCGTCAGGCTTCCGAACCGGAACCTCCCCGTCAGTCTCTGACACTAACGACAATAAACACACAGTATACTGGAAAATAAGGCACAAACATTGTCCGTTAGAATGCTTAGATTCTTAAATAGCACATTTTTACAAGAACAATGTCAGAGAATATTGCCTACTAGCATAAGCCAAAGTTAAAGTAAAACTCACCTTCGTGTCCGTGAATATAACGAGGCGAACATCTTAACCTTTCTCCAGCTGACTTGTTGGGGCTTCGGATCGATGTTCATCATCGGCCAAGCCCTGCAGCACCTGGTGAAATGACATTTTCAATAGATCGGAAACGACCCCGAACGCGGAATGAACATTTGCTGACATTTTATTGTACCAAACTAATATTTCTCTTGGTTTGTGTATAATGTTTAGTCCAGTTTGCCGTCAGTGAGCATCATCACTCAGTGAGTTATTTACTCAGTGCATTGTGGGACATGTCCACTGGGTGATCAGACAAGATGAAAACAACTGGACAATAAAAGGCCCCAATACGTCACATGATGTCTCCAGTCATAAAGCCTCAGATGTTCTGTGGAGCCGTTGGCGTGTTGGATGCAGGACGTCCAGCACAGCAGCAGCTCCGGTATCGGACCGCCGGCCGTTTCAGAGCTGGTTTCTGCAGATCCTCCTCATCCTCGTCTGACCGACTCCAGATCGCCACATCGGCTCGTCCATTGGAGGATCGGCTCAGACCAGCGACACAGCTGATCGGTCTGAACAACAGACACATCAAACCTCAGACTGTCTGTAACTGCCTACGGGAAGCCGACTGGGTCAGAGTCAGACTCCTCATCCTGACCCTGATCATGACTGTCAATCCGCTACAAACGGCCGAACCACGATGATATCAATGCCCATATGAAGATCAGTAATTACTGAAAATATAGTTTATCTATATATTGCGTAACCCAAATGTTCATAAAACTCTTATATTTGACACGGGGCTTTATATTTTTGTTCAGGGTAGTTTTATGTTTGAAATATATATCTCAATAACAGACTCCAGACGTTTAATGTAATAACTTTATTTTTTATATGTTTATACAGGAGTTTGTTTTAACAGGTCAGTTGAGCTCAATAAGTCAAAGTTACACTGGAATGAAACAGAACCAGTTGGCCAATTGTAAAAAGGCATTTGTAAAGAGATACGACTCACAGATGCAAAAGCAATCTTTAAAAACGTCTCAGACAAAACACACTCGAAGGCGTTGGCAGACAACACACACATCAGATGAAGCTTGAAGAATCTGTTAATCCCACATCTTTAATCCCACTGAACAGTCAGGGACAAGCGCAGCGTGTTGCTCTCCCTCCTGGTCATTTGTGCGTCTTAAGTAATGACGTAAAGCACCTGGTGCTGCAGCCTAGCCAAAGCATTCACCGGCCTTTTAGCGTTTTGTCCCATTACAACCACAAACCTCCATGTCTTTTATGAACTTTTGTTATTCAGGGAAGAGAAACAAACAATCCAGATTATTTAACAACAGTCTTTAGTCAGAGGTTTCCTCAGAGAAGTTGCAACACAGACAGCTACAGCAGATACGTTGCATCCACTGCTATAAGCATCTATAGAAACTTCACTGCAAAAACACAAAATCTTCCGAGTATTTTGGTCCAGTTTATAGTGCAAATATCTTGAACTTGAAAAAGGAACTTTTCAGCAAAATACAGGATCTTATTAATAAGATCCTTAATATTGAAACAGTTCTAGTTCCATTGACAGATTATTTCACTTTAACGTGGGATTAATGCTTAGTCAAATAATTTGCCAGTGAAACTACAATTTATTTTAAAAAAGTCAACATTAATGATTTATTTTATTAAAATAAGATCCTGTATTTTGCTGAAAAGTTACATATAAAGTTATTTTTCATATTTCAAGTTCAAGATATTTGCACTAGAAACTGAGCCTAGTTTATACTTGTAAGATTTTGTGTTTTTGCAGTGTTGAATTGTTACGAGTCAAAACATTTTGTTTCAGTTTCTATTAAAATGTCAAGTTTGAATCTGAAAACAGCAGAAAGGTCAAAGGTCAAGGTGTGGAGAACAGCAGTTAGATTATAAATCATTAATCAGAGCAAATGGAAACAACAAACTAAGAAATATAACTGCTGAATACAAATGCAAGCCACACCTTTCAGATTGTTAAGCATTTTGAAAAGAATTCACAATGAAACGATTAACATTAAAATATTAATTCTGCATTAAGATGAAAAACAAAACATCTGTAAATGTTTCAGATTCTGTTAAAAATCTCCCAGGCATCTTCTTCTATACAATTATTAATCAGTTAATAATCAATTATCGTCTGTTCTCTGTATTGATGATCACTTTTTCTCATGTTATGTGAAGGATTTTTATCTGCAGATCCAAACGTTCATTAAATGAATGAAAGCTCGCAGACTGAATCGTTTTTTGAATCTTTTGCATATTTTTGATATTTTATCAAAAATATTAACCGATTGATTGCTAAAATAATCAAAAAAATGAATCGTTTACTGAAGTGGTTATTAGTTTAGCTCTAAATGAAAATACACTGAAATTTGTGGTTGTGAAAAGACAAAATGTATAAAAGTTCAAAGGTTTAAATACTTTGTCACTGAGTTTAACATGAAATTTCCTTTAATTCAAGTCCTTGGACCCTTGAATCCTTGAATTCGTATTTTTAGCATGAAATGATCAAATACAGTTTGACAAACAAATTATTAAAAAGTCAATCTGATTTTTTAAGTGGTGGAGTTTCATCCTCCAGCGGACGCCGGCCCGGTTCCAGGTTCCAGGTTCCAGGTTCGTTCCGGCAGCAGGAGGTCCAGGTGATCCGACCCGATCGAGGCCGGAACCAAACAGATCCGGAGGCGAGACGTTCAGAAACAAAACGTCCCAAAGCTGGAGGTCAAACCGTGTGACCTCTGACCTCTGAAGACTGAACTCTGTTTCAGGTTCAGAGATTATTATCACTTCATAAATAAACTGAGGATGATGGATAAATGTCACTTTATTTAGAAATCTATATAGTATTAATACTTCTGAGTTCTTTATTTATAGGTTCAATTTATTTATGCTTCCATGATTTTAATGTTTCTCCTAAAATCGATTAAATCCTTTAATGCTGCTTCGCTCTGCACTGCAAAAACACTAAATCTAACCCCGTTTGTCTGGTTTCTAGTGGAAATATTTGATTATTCTGAAAATTAGACAAAAACAAGTTCAATGTCATTTTTTAGTTAGAAATAAAATAATTGATCAAAACTTCTTGTTCCACTGTCAGACGGTTTCACACCGTTGCCTAGCAATACCAGCCACGCCCGGCCCGTTGCCTAGCAACCCAGTTCTGGTTCCACCAGCAGATTATTTCTCTTATAACAAAACATTTTTACGTTACAGTGAAATAATCTGCCTGTCTTTATCAACATTAATGAATTATTAGCTTTAGCTCCTTATCCTGGTGAAACGTTTCCTGTAAGTTATCAAACCACACTACAGGCCGACCTCCGACCTCTGACCTCCCATTCATCAGCAAAGTTATTGAAAAAGCTTCAACAGTTAAATAGCTTTCCAACGATAACCAACCGCTTTGACTCCTTCCAGTCTGGTTTCCATGGTTACCACAGCACGGAGACTGGCCTAGTCAAAGTGTTCAATGATATCCATATAAATATGGACTGTGGGAGAACCACAGTGCTGGTTCTGGTTCTGTTGGACCTCAGTGTTGATCATGTTACTGAACCGACCGGAGAGTTGGGTCGGACTCTCTGGTCCAGTGCTCAACTGGTTTGAATCTTACATAAAGAACAGGGATTTCTGTGTTTCAACTGGAAACTTCTCATCAGAGAGGTCAAAGGTCACATGTGGGATACCCCAAGGTTGAATCCTAGGACCCCTTCTTTTCAATATTTATATGCTCCCACTGGCTCAGGTTATAACAGAAAATAGGATTAGCTACCATAACTACGCGGATGATACACAGCTCTACATCACGATGTCACCATGTGACTCTGAACCCATCCAATCACTGAACAGATGCTTAGATCAGATAAATGTGTGGATGGGCCAAAACTTTCTCCAGCTGAACAGAAACAAAACTGAAGTTATTATCTTTGGACCTAAAGAGGAGCGAACTAGAGTCAATGCTCAGCTTCAGTTATTACAACTGAAAACCAGCGATCAGCCCGAAACCTGGGAGAAGTGATGGACTCTGACCTGAACCTTCAGAGCCACATTAAGACAGTCACAAAGTCGGCCTTCTATCACCTGAAGAACATCTCCAGGATTAGAGGACTGATGTCTCAGCACGATCTAGAGAAACTCATCCATGCATTTACCTTTAGCCGCATTGATTACTGCAACGGCGTCTTCACAGGTCTGACTAATAAATCAATCCTCCAGCTGCAGCTGATCCAGAACGCTGCTGCTCACATTCTCACTAAAACCAGGAAGATAGAGCACATAACACCAGTTTTAAAGTCCCTACACTGGCTCCCTGTAGCTCAGAGGATAGACTTTAAATACTGTTGTTAGTTTATAAATCACTGAAAGGTTTAGCACCACAATACATTAAAGATCTGCTGTTGTTGTATCAACCTTCCAGACCCCTCAGGTTCTGGTTCTGGTTCTGCTCTGCATCCAGAACCAGAACCAAACGAGGAGAAGCAGCATTCAGCTTCTATGCACCACAGATCTGGAACAAACTTCCAGAAAACTGAGAAACAGCAGAAACACTGACTTCCTTTAAATCCAGACTCCTGGTTAGTTTTATTTGAATCGTGATCAATTTATCGACGGCATCGACTTAATGTCACGTTTTATTGTTGATTCTCTGCTGCATGACTTTGTTTCTGTGTTTATGATGTAAAGCTCTTTGAAAAGCCTGCTGCTGACATGCTGTACAGATAACATTTGATTGATTTCAAATAAACTCGGATATTTGCTCTGGACAAAAAAAACAACTGATTTTGTGTTTTTGCAGTGCAGTTATCAAAATAATTCTGCGTATCAATCGTCATTGTCATCATCTTCATCTTCATCTTTGAGCTCCAGGTATTCCAGTCCCTCGTCTTCATCATCTTCCTCCTGGGGGTCCCACTTATTTCTAATTACTTCCTCCTCCTCTTCTTCCTCCTCCTCTTCCTCAGCCAGCTCCTCCTCCAGGACGTCGCGCTCCTCTTCGTACGAGGAGATGGGTGAGTAGTGCGGCAGGTCGAATCTGTGTGGGCTGCTAGAAGGCGGCGAGGTGTTGCCGTTGGCAACCGGGATGGTGATGGGCACCGGGATGGAAAACGAAGGGAATGGCTCTGGACCGCCACCACCGCCAGCCTCCTTCATGTTCCCGCCGCCACTGGTCCGGCTGAGATGGCCGGCAGGGATGACGGCCATTCCCAGCCCACAGGTCAGGGCCCCAGAGGTCAGGGCCCCAGAGGTCAGGGCCCCAGAGGTCAGGGCCCCAGGGTCGGGCCGGTACTCCCGGATCTCCCCCGGCTCCAGTGGCTCCGGCCCACAGGGGTCGTGTTCGCTGCAGCAGAGCTTCCCGTCCAGCTTGGAGATGAAGAGCAGGCCGTCACGGTGCTGAGGGCAGAAGGAGCTGGGACACATCTCACAGAACGACGCCGCCTCCTTCCCACAGACGTCACACTGATGCCAAGGACACTCCCAACGACCTTCAACCAAACAGACATACAGGCAACAATCCAGGAAAACATGAAGGATGTTTCCCTCCTTCAGTCCAGTGGACCCGGTTCCACTGGACCCAGAACTCCATCATCTGCTCCACCTCCAGCTGCTGTGGTTCCGGTTGGAGGATTTCTCTTTAGTCTTTGGTCTCCTGGTCTTCAGCCTAAAGAGAAATCCTCCAACCGCTAAAATCCTCCATCTTGTTTCCATCTGGTGAAGAAGGAAGTTGCTCTCAGTGTCTTCAGAGGTTTTTGTGTCGTTTCCTTCAGTGGTTCTTGGTGCAGCGCCCCCACAGGCCAGGAGGGGAACAGGTTGGTTTGACTCAGAGCAGCTGGAGGTGGAGCAGATGGTGGAGTTCTGGGTCCAGTAGAACCGGGTCGACCGGACTGAAGGAGGGAAATCATCTTTAATCAGTTTTATTAATAAACTCTTAGTCATTTGGAACAGAAAGTACACTTCTCTTACAGTTAATAGGACTTAATGATTTTGTGCTTAAACTGTAATGAATATTTTGTAGCCCAGGTCACCTGTATTTATGTGGCCATCTTGAGTCTTGAAGGCCACATAAATATCTAGGGCGTGCCAGATTTGGCCTGCGGGCCTCGACTTGGCCCCCAGTCCTGAAGGTGTCTGACCTGCGGGCCTCTTGGTGAGGTTCAGGCAGTCTGCATGGTAGACTTTGGGACATCCTGGCTTCTTGCAGGACACCATCTGTCCTCCGTCTCCGCAGCTGAAGCACTCGTCCTCCCTCTCTTTGGTCGGCAGCGCCTTCTTCTTCTTCCGGCCATGGCCCCGCCTCCTCAGCTTGCGGCCCTTGTCGTCGGATGGAGGGTTGTTCTGTTTGGACGGCGCCGGGTTAGCGTGTGTTTCTGTCCGTATCATGGAAGGAGCCGGTCTCAGGCCGGGAGCCTCACCTTTGGCCTCACGCCCAGGAAGCCGCTGCAGTTTGCGGAGCCGCATTTACAAACCGTCTTCCCGTTGCCCAGACACTCCAGGTTGTAGTTGAAGGTGAGCTCTGTGCCTGAGGGAGGAACGGTCGTTACACCCGGGTCTTTGAACGTTTTCATTTCCTTCCTAAGCAGGAAGTTCAGTGACCTGCAGCGATGTCCACCAGAGCGAACAGTCCCACCCGCGTGTCTCCGCTGACCGTCCACTTCTGCGTCTCACAGTTGGGCTGGCAGCTGTGGTTCATGAAGCGAGCCTCGTTGCCCTTCGGCCCGGCGTCGATGATTCTGTCCTGAAACCAGAGGCAGGCAGAGGAAAGACACACGGTTGGCTAAGCTAGGTTGGTGGTATCAACCAACGCCCTCCCTCTGTGGTTGCCTAGCAACAACCTGCTGGGTAACGTGCAGGTCAAAGTTTCGTCTCATAACTGCTTAGAAATGAATCATAACGGAGTGAAGGGACAAAATGAGTTAAGCTGCATAAACAGGGAAGGTCGGCATTCCCTGTTGAAAACGTTTCGTCCTTGTCTAGCCTGAACTTTGCTTTTTTCCTGAGTAAAAGATTTTGTTTGTATTTTTCCTCCAAACAGGATGTTTTACTTTGGCATATGTCACTTCCTGTCAGGCTGCGCTGCAGAAATCGGATCAGCGTGTCGTTAGTTAGACTTTCTTGAAGTTTCGGTTTGAGTTTAAGGTCTGTTGTTGATGGATGCGTGCCACACCTTGTCCAGAGTTAACATGTAGAAGTTGCAGATGTCGTTCTCCTGGGCGTGTCTGATCCTCGACCTGCACTCGTCTTCGCCGATCACCTCCCCGACGTATTCGGTCACAAACTGACCCTGAGAAAGAACCAGCTGGAGATTTATCGACGTCCCTGGCGGCGGCGGCGGCGCTCGGTTGGACTCACCTTCTTGATGTCATGGACGCAGCGAAGGCCCCAGCCGCGAGACAGAGTCCGGAAGATCTGCACCTGGCTGTACTGGCGCTTGGTGAAGGCCTGGTTCAGGCACCGCTCACCAGCCGGACACACCTACAGGGGCAGCCCCAATTTACTCCTGTCACTTTTTACCAGGTCTAAATTCCACTCAGAGAAATGAAATGATTCATGGAAAGTGGAAAGACGCGGTTCTGCTACCTGAGGGTGGCACTCGTACAGCAGCATGCGGTTGATGCATTCAGAGTCGTTCCCACACGGACTCTCGTCTGTCGCCTTGCAGTTGCAGCGCGGGATTTCTGACAGGTCAGCAGTCAGGATCTGAACCTTCCCAATCGGACGATTCACCTGCACAGGCCGACGCTTAGTTACAGAAGCTCTTAAAAACTAATCGATCAGTAATTTAAATCACTGATTAATGATTTAAATCATCTGTCAGTGACTTCATGGTTCTGCTGCTCCAAAACTTAAAGATCTGTTGTTTTCTTTTTCTTCTCATATCTTTCATTTCAAAATGTTCACAAAATAAAATAAAGCAATATTTTTCATTTTATCACAATCTATTAGCTTAGCATACTACAAAGTACCATAGCATCAGTAAGCTAACAGCAGCAATGTATTGCAAAAACAAGAGCAATGGCCTAGCGTTAGCATGCTAAATGACTAGCATAGCAGTAATACTGAGGAGTTTAGCCTCAGTATTGAGAAATATCAGCATCGCATTAAAAACATGAAGTTATTTCCAGAAGCTGCTGGTGTTTTTATTAAACTCTTTGTGGTTCTAAAAGCTGTTGAGACTCAAAGGAAATACAAAAAAAAATTCAAAGGAAATTTGAATACTGCAGTGCAATGAATGTGGTGTTTTTACTCCGTCATCATATTGTGAGCCTGCGTAACGCTGGTAGGATTTTTCAGACCTTAATGTGTTTGTACGGCGGCGGCTTCCTGTCGTTCTTTCTGTCCTCCTGAAGCTGCCGAAGCTCCTTTTCTGCCTGAAGCTCACGAAATCGCACAGCCGCCTCCTCCAGCGCTGACAACGGAAATAAAACACACTCAGCATCCTGAAGATGTTATTACACGAACATAAAACCTGAATATTTGATGATCCTCACCTTTCTTGTAAGTTGCATCGACACCTTTGCCCATCCTCTCTTTGCTGTTTGCGTCGACGTCCATGTAGGGGAAGACGCGGGCCTGGTAGGTCCACAGGTAATCGTTGGAGCCGAAGAAGTGAACGGGGAACTCGCCCACATCGTGCCGCATGCGCTGGATGTTTTCTGGGATGGTTTTGGGATGGCTGACCTCCGCTGGCCACCACCTCGGGTCAGAGAGCAAAGCACACGTTCGCTTCATCGTTTAGTTTCAGCTTTTCTGCTCAATTACAGACAATCAAACCCCTGATGTAGGAACAAGGGAGCTGTGTATAACATAATACAAAGCTTCAATCAACAGCAGAGGAGACATTTCAGTGCGTCAGCATGGCTTCAGCTCAGTTTGGAAATAAATATCAGACCTGCCTGCAAAAAAACAGAAGAAGGTTTTTAACAGCAGAAGAAAAACTGACTGGACAGAAAAAAGACTGAAACGGTTGATTGAAATAATCATGATTAATCAATTATTGGAATTATGGCCAACTGTTTTAGTAATCGGTTAATACAGACTCGGAAAGAACAACACCGAAGGAGCACAGAGCAGAAAGCAAAGTGTGTGTATTTTCACACACTTATCGTCCAGGAAGTCACTCAAAGCGCTTCACACCAGAGTCGCATTCAGCCATTCACACTCACACATTCATACTCCGATAGGCAGATCGGTAGGCAGTCTGGGGTTCAGTGCCTTGCCCCGGGGCATGTGGCAGAAGGAAGCTGGCATCGAACCTACAACCTTCCGATCACAAGATGGCTGCTCTTCCCACAGAGCAGGTCGCAGTAAATAACTAAAAAACAATCGCAAATAAAAACCTTCACAAATACACACGTCATCATTTCTGGTCCAAAACCAGCGCATCACTTAAAATACAAAAGCTGAAGCTTAGAACATGTGTAAAAGTCTTTATACATAAAACTACATAAAAGCTAAAACGACAGAAGCTGGGAGCGGCGGGCCGTTTCTGACCTGTAGCGGCCGACCTTCACCCACAGGATGTCCTGGTAGCGCGGCTTCTTCCCCGCCTTGCAGTCGTTGCAGAACCAGCTGCCTTTGGGCAGCTCCATGTTCAGACACTCTCTGTGAAATGCGGCGGGACACGATTCACAGCACAGCAGGCTTCCTCCTGCCGGACGGACAGAGACACGGGGTCAAAGGTCGAGACTGTTCCAGATTGATCTACAAACGAGGTTCTTAGCTTAATCTCTCCCGCTAAATAATCTCTGAGTGGCATTAAAAAATAAATTAATAAATATTATCTCCACTGATGCTAAAGCGATACACCAATACAGTGTTAAACGGAAGCTAATGCTAAAATGCTAACATCAATTTAAATTATGTTCCTTTGAAAGATTACAAATCTTTTATTTGACATAATCTATATGTAAATGTTCTATAAAACTATTTGAAATTATGTTTTGTTTTCTAAGTTTTATTTTAACATTGTAGTTGTAAAGTTTGTCAAAATTGGTTCATCTGTTCTTCAAATTTATTCTGTTTGGTCAAAAAGTTTTTTCTCCTGATTTTATCGCTGCTTTTAAAAGCTGGTGGTTACCATGGCAACCATTAGCCGATAGCTCCGTAACTGATGATGTATTTTATCCTTTGTTTTAGATAAGTTTAATCATATTCTGGGTTTCATGTGTAATTTTACCTGATATGTTTTTAAGTCTGATGATTGTTAATGTTTTTCATTTTACAGCTGCTGTCTATGGAGGGCCGGGACCAACATAAGAAATAAAAGAATAAATATAGAAATAAAAGCATAAATACATATTTAGTTTTTCCTTTTCCTTACACGAGTTTCCGTCAAGACAAATAGATATTTTGCTTTGCCTTTTTTTTGCTTCTCTATTTCTGTATTTCTGCTCGCTGTTTTTCTGCTGCATCGTTATGTTCATGAGGAGAGCTGCCTTCTATGTCTGCTATTGGCCAATAGAGCCTGGGAACCAACGTCACTGCGTCAGACGTTGTGGGGCGTTTAGGTCCAGTCGCTCGGTGCCATCTTTACAGGCCACAGACCAAAACAAACTTTATCCCGGTGGTTTTATTGTGTTACCGACTGCAGTGAAGTGAACCTCCGAGGAGGGAGCTGGAGAACGGCTGGCCGAAATTAGCGTTCATAAATCAGATCAACCTTGAGCTAAATGCCGCTTGCTCGGCGGATATTGGAAAATCCAATATCCAACTCGAAACTAACTTCACTAACTTCAGGTTAATTGGTCTGTCTAAATTCTCCCTAGGTGTGTGTGTGTGTGTGTGCATGGTTGTCTGTCTCTGTGTTGCCCTGTGACAGACTGGTCACCCGTCCAGGTGGACAGGTGACCTGTGACCTGTCCAGGTGACCCTGCCTCTCACCCAGAATGTTAGCTGGAGAGGCAGCAGCTCCTCCTGACCCCATTAAGGGACGAGGTGTTAGAAAATGGATGGATGGAAATGATGCAAAAGGGGTAACATTGAAAGTTTAAAGAGACGACGTACCTTCGGTGCAGACGAAGCACCAGCTGACGTTGACGTGTTCGTGGTTCTTGACGCCGCGACGTGGCGCGAAGTGGTTGGGGCAGATGATGCTGTTGTTGGAAAGCACAACACTGCCGGCGGCCATGCACAGGTCGGTGGCGTGATAAGCAACGGGGCAGCGAACGCATCGCACCAGACGGCCTGCGGAGCAACAGGCGCCATGAGAGTGGGGCGGCGGGCCAGGCGTGACCTGCTGACCTTTACTCCGCTGACCTTTGGAGACGGATGAGCTGCCGGGGCTGGCGATGAAGCAGGTGAGGCAGACGTGGATGGAGCAGCGGAAGCTTCGGTTGACCGGCGCGGTCGCGGCGTAGTTAGCGATGCACTCTCCATGGTAAAACTTCCCGCAGACGGGGATCATGCAGCGGCGAACGTCTTCGCTGCGTTTCTTACACACGAAACAGGTGTGGACGCCTGGAAGGAGGAGGACAGTCAGCCTGGAGAGCCACAACCGCAGAATCCGCGCTACGATCATGTGAGGTGTTAGCGCTCATTCCTGTCGCCGTGGAGACAGGAATCACTACACCAGGCCTGCCCAAACTTTTTGAGAGCAAGATCTACTTTTTCTCTCACCAGCCGCCTGAGATCTACCTCATGACACAAAGACATAAAA